AAGAACAGGTACTCCTGGTGCCCACAGGACAGGATTTGGGACTGCAGGTGAGGACCTGACCTAATCTTCCCATAAACCTGTAGGGCTCTAGGGAGTTGCAATTGTGGAAGCAATAAAACTCACATGTCTAAAAGGTCACTGCTGTGTGCAGCTGGTGGTGTGGCCTCCAGTCACCAGTGCAGGAGCTTCTGGAAGAGAGGTTAGAGGCTGTAGACAGGAGCTGGTGGGTGTGGCCGCAGCTCTTCCTATGCCTGTAACTGATGAGCTCCGCAGAGGGAATTGGACCCTTGGTTTCAGTCATTGCCCCAGTGCTCTGTTGAATTCTCCTTCCCCGGCCTTATTAGTGGTGGTGGTTGCAAGGATTTTGCTGTGTTCCCTAATTGTGAACTACTTATCTCCCAGGAGAAAGACTTGCCTACCCTACAGCAAGAACTTATGGACACCAAACAAGCACTGGCCAGTGCCCACCAGGACAAAGAGAAACTTCTCCAGGAGGTTAGGAAGTACAACCCTCTCTTTGAGCTCTGACAGCAGCTCACCCATCTGTGCCAAGGAGAGAAGATATCACCAGCAACAGCACCACCTAGGATAGAGGTGCCGAGGAGCCAGCAGGGCTGGGAGGGAGCACCCTCGTGTGCTTCCTGCTGGCTGCTAGCCTGGGTGGAGGACAGTGGAGAGCATGGCTGCATCCAGGAACTGGGATAGCTATGTACCTGGCCCTGCACCATATCTTGCCATTATGTAGCCTTGTAGCCCTCTGCATACGAGAGGAATCTTCTCTACACTGTAGAGCATTTCACCTCCTGGTTTCATGGCAGTGATGTTTGCTTCCTTTACAGTGTGTGTGAAAAGTGTCCATCTGAGTCATGTGCACAGCCACCAAAGATCTCATGTCCCAGCGCTTCCTCTGGCATACCTAAAAAAGTCCTTGGCTTGAGTTTTGGAGTAGATCAGGAAATATCCCAGCCTCAGGGGTTGGGTCAGAGGAGGCCTGAGCTGAGGGAGCCATGGAGTGGGAGCTAGGCTCATCCCATCTTGGCGATGTCTTCATTGTGATGCTGTGACTGACTCGGCCAAATCGTGGTCCCTGACAGCAGTTGTTAGCATGCTCAGCTGAGGGCATGCTGAGGTGGGGTGCAGTTCTGCCTGCTCCTGCAGCTGTACCTGACAGGCTGGCTTCTTTCTGCACTGGGAGTCCCTGGTCACCTGCTTTCCCAGCACTATGACTTTCTGCCTTTGCTATGTCAGCACTTGGTAGTCTGACCTAGTCGCGACGCCTCAGTGTGCTGCCCCGCTTCCTGTTACTATGGCTTTTTCAAATCATGCTATTTTACCTTAAGTAAACGGTCCAGGTTTCCTCCTGGCACTGTGAGAGAGCTCCCTTTCCTTCTGATTGTCAGAATTCGGCTCTGTGCTGAGCTCCAGGTAGTGCTGCCCGAGCAGAAACATCACCAACTCACCTGTGTGGGGCATGGTCACTTGTGATGCCTGGGGCTGAGGGCAGGGGAGGAAAAGCACCACCCTGTGCGTTTCAAGGGTAAAAGAAAATACTTAGGAATGAGGTTGCATTTGTTCAGACTTGTAGGACTCAGTCATGTTCTCCACTAAGGCAAATTTCCAGACACAGTTCTTGCAGGATTGTGGTTTGTTACACTGAGGAGACACATTGCAGACTTGGGAACATCTTCTGGAGACATTGTTAGCAGTGAAGCTTCCTTGTTTCAGATTTTTATAAATGACCTAGGACTTTAAATGCCATTAAATGGTGCTGCTTCTAGACAGTGAAAAGCAGACCAGAAGAGAGAAACACAGCCATAGAAAAGTCACAGTGAGCAGAGTTGTGAGTGTGAAACGTGACACACAGGGAAGGGCTGAGTGGCACATGTGCGTGACTGGACTCCCCCAGCATTACAGACACAACCAAATTAAAGCTCATGTATATCTGAACTACTACTGCTACTACTAAAACTACTCAGGAAAGAATCCAGAGCCTTGCTGAGGGAAGAGGGGCTGCTGTGATGCTGTGCCTGACTGCTCCCAACATTAGGACAGTGCTGTTGGCCGGTCGACAAGAGCCCTGTCTCATGTAGAACTGTGGGGGTGACTTCCTCCAACCATTGGGCATGTCTACCGGCTTTATTTATCTAGAGCACAGAGAAGGGAATGGACGTTCAGAGAATAGGGAGAACAGTCGGTGGTGTGCTTTGAAAGCAAAGACTGTTCTGCAGAGAAGAAAGTTGAGGGGAGCAGGTGACCACACACAAGAGCAGGGGGAACCTAATCTGGAAACATTATCTCTAGGGCTCTGTCACTGCCTCAGGGAGAAGAAAGCACTTTTAGTAAAGTTAGAAGCTTGAAGAGCTTGTTCGAGAAGTGGCATCTGTGTTTCTAAGATTCGTAGAGGGAAAACAAGAGCCAGTAACTAAGAAATAGAACCATCTTAACATCAGGGTCGCTTGAAGTTCACAGTCACATCCTCATCCCTCCGGCACCCCTCCGGGAGATGATGTCTAACACTTGGTGTGCTTTTCCCTCAGGCTTGCAGTAGAAACACATTGTGTCAAGGATAATGCCTTAATGGCCAGAATATCATGATTTGGAGCTGAGGGGTTCTGGGGTTCTTGTCCATGTGCAAATGGAGTTTCAGTTTATGTGATAGATTTGGCCTTTGTGTCTAGAAGTCATCCCTGAAGAAACATGATAAAACTGTTATTCCGTGGGATTTCAATGATGTCATTTTTGTAATTCAGTTCCCCTGTGCATTGGGAGATGACTCATGAGCCGTGAAATGGCCGTGTGAATCTTCAGGGTAAGGGTAGAAGACAGTGACGAGCAGGGCAGTCCTTTTGGAGCTCTGCCGTGAAGTTGCCGTTGTAACATGAAATAATACCTCAAGAGAACTTCTGGAGGGACAGCACCACTGTCCCCCCAAGACTTCAGCCACGCACATCGTCCTCTCAGCTGTAAAGCACTTGACGCAGCTGTGTCATCTGGGATTGTCTAGATTTCCTGTTTACATGCATGTACTGGGAATATGCCTTTGTGTGTGCATTAGAGCTGAGTCCTCTAACTGGGCTGCAGAGATGGCCATCAATGTCTACTTCACTGGAATGATTAACTGAATTGCTAATGGAACGCCAACATGGGTTCTCTTCCTGTGTATTCTGTGAATTTCCTCTGACCCTTACTGTGCCGTGGGCTGTAATCTCCACGTTTCTGTACTCTGAAGGAATGGCACCTGTGTGTGAACTAGAAAAGGATGAGCCCACATCTTAGACACTGCGACTCAGAGATGCAACACTGCAAGGAAGGCCGTGTGGGTTCTCCTGGGCAGGAACTTCTAGATTGCTAACATCAGCGACGTCGGGCCACAGAGGTGAAAACAGCTGTTTACTACCCAAGCTAGTGGAGTAACATCTGGTTGAGAGCCATGACAGATGTGACTTAAGTGACTGACTCTTGGAGCTTCAGAGGCCACACACAGTCCTTAAGGAGACTTAGGACCTTGCCTAGGTGCCACCACATCTTCTGCCAGGCTTTTCCATTTCCCCAGTGTAGCTATGGAGAATGAAGAGGCATTTTGCCCCATGGCACAGGGAAGTAACAGTGAGGCCTTTTTAAGTGGCCAGACTTGGGATCAGAGCTTCCTGTCCTGCTATTATGTTCCTGCCTTATCCATTATCCTTTGTCAAAACAGGAGTAGTTCCTGCGTGTTAAGAATTTCCTATTGGAGTTGAGAGGGAAAATCTTTTTTGTCAGTTTACTAGTTTTTGGTCAAGATTTAGCCTGAGTCTTACAGCATTCTTTGTGGAGTGCTCCACTGAAGTGTCTTCTGCTTTGGCTAAGCCAATGAGTTTCAATGTAAGCCACTAAAAGTCAGATCTGTCCAATTACGTGAGTCTGAGCTGTTTCCCTAACTCAGGGTGCTACAAACAAAAGACTTGCCCAGGAAAGCTTCAGAAGAGAACTGCTTCCAACCCTTCCTGTGACACTTCGCAGTGGAGGGGAAGTAGGTCAGTGGATTGCCAATTATATCAGGTAGCCTTACTACTGCTAATCACTGTCAATAAAACGTCACTTCATTCTCTGAGGAAAGCAATGAACTGGAATCCTAGTCAGTATTGGGAGATTCTAATGTTGCAATATCTGATCAAACCCTGCGTGTACTGGTTCTGTGAACCACCTGAAAAGCAAATTAAAAACTATTAAGTGGCATTGGTCCTTCTGTGTCTGTTTATAGGAGGTGAAGGTGAGCTTTACCTGTGCTTTTTTTTTTTTTAGGTTATTTTTGCTGTGCACCTAGTTTGGCCTCAAACTCATGATGCTCTTGGCCAAATGTGGGATTTACATGGCTGTAAACGGTGCTGGAAGCTGGGAATATGCCTAGGTTATTTGCATGCTTGCCTGTTATGCATGGAGACCCTGAGTCTGATTTCCAGCACTGAGTATGGGCACATACCCTAATCCTAGTATTGGGGAGATAAAGACAGGAAGACCACAAGTTCAGGTTATTTCCTTGGCTACATAATACTCATTTTTAGTGATTTTTGTGTATGTATGTGAATATTTGTGTATGCCTAGGAAGGCCAAAAGAGGTACTGCATCCTCTAGTTCTGGAGTTCTGGGACGTTGTGAGTGCCCTGATGTAGGCTGGGAACTGAACTTGGGTCTGAGCTCCTCAGGACCAAAAGCTGAGGTTCTTGTTTCTTCTCTTCAGGAAAAAGGGCAAGGTGTGGTGACCACCTCAGAACTCAGGAGCCACAGACAGGCTCTGAGTTCAAGGCAGCCTGATTAACATAGTGAGTTCTAGACCAGCCAGACTGTCTCAAAAACAGATTTTTTTTTTTTTTAAATGAAAAAGCCAAGACTAGTGCCAGGTTTTAGTAGTCGTGTTCTGTGAGCTTGAGACCAGCCTGCTCTACACAGTGAGTTCCAGGACAGTCAGAGCTACATAGTGAGTCCCTGTCTTAACAAACAAACAAAGCAAAACAAAAACCAAGTGGTGTTGGTGCATGCCTTTAATCCCAGCACTTGGGAGCCAGCTAGGGCTCCTTGGTGAAACCCTGTCTTCAAAAACCAAAATCAAGACTGGTTAGTTTTATTTAGACAGTGGAAGAATGATAAATTTTGCCTTCAACAAAATAAACTTTTCCACACAAGTCGGAAAAGTTTAATGGTAACTCCGCAGGAGAATCTGAAATGTTAACAACATGAAGTATGTCACCCTTGTGACTTCATGGCAGATGACCCAAGGTTAAGTTTCTAAAAACCAGAGGCAAGAAACAACCTGGGTTGTAGCAACTTTAGGCTTCAAAGTGAAGCCAGCAGGTTGTCTTTGTCTTTGTTACTAGTGCCTTACAGGTGTGACAGAGACACTGACATCAGCATCGTGGGTCCTTGGAGCACTGACGAGGAGCACCAATGCACAGCCCAGCTGTGGAGTCTGGACCGCTCTCAGGCAGATCTAGAAGAAGATGATTTTCTTGTGCTTAGAGTTGGGGATCTGCCCCTTGGACTTCAGCCTCCGAACAGCCTCCCGCATGTGCTTGGGCTGCAGTGGTGGCATCTCTCCCCACTTCTCACACACATCCAGGGCTGGCATGGGGAAAGAGATAGCGTCATTAACATAAGGTTTACTAACTTGCCACAGAAACATACCAATATATTTCCTTAAGAAAGCTTCACAAAGTCTATGACGCTGGCTTTAGTTATACCCCACAGGGACCGGGTCACAGCTACAGGGAAGAAAAGGACAAGGCAAGCTGGAGACGAGCAGGGAGAAGCAGCCAGGCTTTCAGGGAAAGCTCTCAGTTGGTATTGCTATCAGGGCACTCCTGTCTTCTTACATTGCACAGCACAAGCAAGGTCTGCTGAGGAAAGATACACAACTGTTTGTCACCCTGGGCTAAGGAGAGGGATTCCCTAGACGGTTTCATCCCTGCTCTCCATCCCCGCCTACCCAGTGATAAAATCTACAAGAGTAGCCATGCTCTCCTCAAGACAAGGCTCCCTACAGGATCAAATTTTAGTGTGGCTGGAAACTACCAGAGACCCTTCAATGACCTGGTAGACACTCTTGAAAGTGAGATCCCCATGAAAGCAAGAATGTTGTATAACCAACAATACGCACCTTCTTCTACTACCTCCCCCACAAAAACTTTAGAAATTCCAGACATGGCAATCACAACATTCTGGGACACAGAGGTCCCCGTGATAGACTGGATCAGCTTGGAAGAAAGAAAGAAGAAGACTGTTAAGATAATCAGTGACGGCTTTGGAATGTAGTACAGGTGCCTACATGCCACACTGAAGGCTGTGTGCTAAAACTGAGATTATTAGAATAAGATGCTTGCTGCTCTTCCAGAGGACTAGAGGTCAGGTCCCAGCACCCATACTGGGTGACTCACAACCACCTGTAACTGCAGTCAGGAGATGTGATGTCCTTTTCTGTCTTTCATGGGCACTCCTGTACATGGTATATATACACCCACAGATACATCAATAAATACAAAAAGAAAAACGCCCCGCAGGATTACTGTGTGCTATGACTTGCCATGCCTGGCATACATGCCATGCCAGGTGATGAGAGAGGTGATTTTATCTTCCCTCCTAATTAACATTACTCACTCAGATGAAGACACAGCTGTGGACTCTAGCGTCTTCCTAACACGAGGGGAACACACTGGGCAGTCCATCCTTACCCTTTTAATGGCTGCCTTAGGGAAAGCTGACCGGCGATACATTTCGTAACGGTTCAGCTGCTCCTCAGAAAAAGAAGAGACGAGGATTCTAGACAAAGATTCAGATAATTAAGTTGGTTAATGAGAATGAATACTAAAGGCATAAGTCAAAAACAGCAAAGCCCAGGCCAAAAACAAACCAAAATGTATTTCACGGAGTTGGTGGCTTTAGGCTTAGTGCGCTTGAGGATGGCATCTCCACTCCTCAGGACCTCTGGGAAGGGGAAAAGGGCACACTTTCCTTCCCTCAGAGACAGAGCTGCTGCGTGTGGCAGTGTGTGCCTGCTCCTCCTAAAAGACTTAGCAGTATGAGGACAAAGTACTGTATTCTAATGCTGACTTATTTCACACTGACAGTGAACATCTAATACAGAAATTTCTGTTCAAATCAGGGTTCTTCAATGTTAACATGTTTAGAGGAAAACATTCAAATTATGTATAGTCTTTAGAACATTTTTGAGACATGATATACCTCAGGTTAGCCTCAGAAACTTGAGTTTCTGATCCTCCTGGCTCCGCCCTCCAGAGGGTTGGGATTACAGTTTTGCTCAGTGCTGGATCCATCACAGGGTCTCCTGCTTGCTCTGCAGGTAATCTACAATAGCCTCAGCCCTGATATTTTAAATTACTGAGTCTATCTTCTATGCCTATGTGGTGTATGTATGTGTGGGGGACACATGAAAGACAACTTGAGGTAAGCAGTTCTCTCCTTCCATCATGTAGGTCATGGGTATGGAATTAGGTTGTCAGGCTTGATGGTGAGTGCCCTATCTGGTGGGCTGTATCCTTTGGGCTAGAAGAGGGCAAAAGATCTCATTATAGATGGTTGTGAGCCACCATGTGGTTGCTAGGAATTGAACTGAGGACTTCAATTGAACTTCGAAAGAGAAGACAGTGATCTTAACCTTTGAGCCATCTCTCCAGCGTCCTTTTCCTTTTTTTTTTTTTTTTTGAGCTTACCTATGTGAGTATGTTTGCTTGTGTGTGTGTGTGTATGTGTGCACATGTGTGTGCAGGTGCCCACAGAAGGCAGAAGAGAGTGCCAGATCCTTTGGAACAAGTTAGAGGCATTTGTGAGCAGCTTGACATGTGAGGGCTGCGAATCCTGTTAGCACAGATGGCTCTTAACCTCTGAGAAGTCTCTCTAGCCCCTTCTATTCTTTATAGTTAATTCTTTTAAATAAATAAAAAGATGGCCAAACCAATTTTAGAAGATGAACTAAGGGTTGAATAGGAAATTCACAAAAATCCAATGGCCAATCAAGATGGAAGAAAATGAACCTTAAGTATTAATCAAGGAACTTAAACAACTAAACAAGATCACAATGTTTATAAATCAGAAGATATGCTGAAAATCCTTTGAAACACATTCAAACTAGAGTTTATATAGCTGGTTTATCCTAGAAATGGATAAGATGTAGAGATATGTCCAAAGATGTATCAGTGTTGTTAAAAGAAATAATAATTTCAAGAGTCTACCTAGAATAGATAAAGGGGTTAATATGAGTCACACACAGATGAGATGCAGCACAACCAGATTAAATACACAAATATATCCACATCTATATTCTTGGAATAAGATTCAGCAGCCGAATTTTGGGTCTTTTTTTTTTTTGGTATTATGAGTTATCTGTAATGAGCCCATATCATTGCCACTCTAAAAGTCAAGCTTTTTGAAGAAAATGATGACTTTGATGTATAATGATAATCACTAATAATGAGAAACACTGACTAAATGTAATGTTAAGAACAAAACATTTTGAAACAGCAATTATTTAATATTCTTATATTTACACATTTATTTTGTGTATGTGTAGGAGCATGCCTATATTTGGAGATCACAGAACAATTTCCAGGGACTGGTTCTCTCCTTACAGTGTTGTTTCCCAGGATCGAACTCAGGCCATTAGGCTTGGTGGCAGGCATCTTTATCTGGCAGTTTGCTGACCTGAAATTATATCCAGGCATAGTTAGTGGCTAATGCCTGTAATCTCAGCACTAAGGAGACTGAGGCAGGAGGATCAAGAGTCAGGACTAACTGAAACCTCATGAGACCCTATCTCAAAACAAACAAACAAGCAGCACATAAGAGCGAGTGCAGAGCTGAGTTACAGCTTTGGAATGGAAGTTAGAAGAGACTCACTGCATCTTCTGAATCTCATCCTCGTCCACTTTCTGCTTCTTCTCTCTCTTCTCCTTGGTGTCCAGTTTCAGCTTTTTGGCTGCAGGAGTAAGTAAAGACGGGTCTTCCCTCTCAACTGCTGTTAGATCTGAGACGTCCTGGCTCTTGATCTGGGAAGATGGACAGAAACTGTTACATGTTTGGTATACTTTTCAGCCTTGGGCAAGGCCAGCAAATGCCCTCCTCTTTCCAGCTCAGTCGATCTGTTTATGCAGTAGCTGTCTAGTTCTAGGCACTGCCTACACCATCGGCACTGAGGGGCTGTCTGTCTCCTAAAGGAAGATTATAGTCCAGCTGGAGAGGAAAATGAGTAGTCCAGTCTTCCAGCTGAGCCAATTACATAGATATCCTGTATCTGTTTACCAAGGAGCCAAATCAGCACTCCCCTACCTCATCCCACAGACATCAGCACAGTCCTCCATCCAGCATGTGTCTTGGGAGTACCACCACCTGCAGTGTTCCGACCCTTCCCACTACTAGACTAGAAACTTTGTTTTTTGAGACAGTCTCTTTACATAGCCCTGACTGTCCTGGAATTCACAGTGTAGACCAGGCTGGTCTCACAGAAATCTGACTGCCTTTGCTTCCCAATTGCTAGGATTAAAGGCCTGTGCCACCACCATCAAAGTCTGGAAACATTTTTTCTTTGTGATTTAAGACAAGGTCTTATTTTGTAGCTGAGGCTCCTGGCACTCCCCTGTCCTGCCTCCTTGCTGGGATTATAAACTTGTACTACCATACTGAGATTAAACTAAAAACTGAGAGATGGCTCAGAGGTCATGAGCATTGGCTACTCTTGCAAAGGATTCGATGACCAACAATCACATGACAGCTCAGTCATCTGGTTCCCCAGTTTTAGAGGATCTGATGCCTTCTTCTGACGTCCACAGGGACCAGGCACATACATGGCAAACATATGTACACAAGGGCAAAACATCCATACAATAAAAAAATTTAAAAAGCCCAAACTTAAAATAATGTGTGTGGACTTGCAAGTGTTGACCACAGGGCAATCTTTGTGGAGTTGGGTCTCATCTCCCTTTATGTGGGTTCTGGGGACCACACTCCAGTTCCCAGGCTCTCGTGGCAAGCCCCTTTACCTGCTGAGTCGTTTTACTTGCCCTGTGCTTTAAAAAAGCCATTATTTACTTTTCTCTCCATATCAGCACTCAACAGTTTTACTCGTGACAGATGTAATCCAAATTCTGTTCTACTAACTGATCATGTAATCTTAATATACCAGAACTCATTACTACGATTTAACAGTTCCTTTAAAAAGAGATTCATATTTAAAAACTCGGAAATTCAGCGAGGGGGAGTGAAGGCATATATCTGACAAACCTTTCAACTTAGTTTCAGTTACTGATCTATACATATTTACCAACTTTTGCGCTTCAGAATTTTATTTGTTTTCTTTTTTGAGACAGGGTTTCCCTGTAGCTTTGGAATCTGTCCTGGAACTCCCTCTGTATACCAGGCTGTCCTTGAACTCACAGAGATCGCCTGCCTCTGCCTCCCAAGTGCTGGGATTAAAGGCATGCGCACCTGGCTTGTGCTTCAGCTCTTCAAATTTGTCCTTAACTTTCCCCTCTTTTGTTCTCCTTTCTTTGCTTTTTTTCCTTTTTTTTTTTTTGGTAGTTGGGGTAGAAGCCGGCCTTATTTTGTAGCTCTTGAAGTCCTGGAATTTATTCCTTCTACTTCAGCTGCCCGCATGAAACATTCAGCTTAAAATTTTCTTCTGAAAACAGTTTTGCTGCCGATCTGTGTCAGAAGGGTCACAAGCTCAAGGCCAGTCTGTGTTAGGGAGACGCTCCTCATAAAGAAAAGAGCAAAATTCCATAAAGTTTTGCTACGTCTTCTTTTTCCTGACTGTTATTACTGTCAACATTTTGAGGCAGTTGCGTTGGGAAGTCCATTTCCATCTTATCTACTTGTCATTCCATGAGCTCTCAAAGTCAATTCCAGCTCTAAAGCTCTGAGATTTTATCTGCAGAAATGGAACCGAAAGAACGCTGAGGTTCAACTAGGCAACAATGCTTAGCTTTGGAAGTGGCACAGTTGATGGTTTTGGTGGCCTTTCGAGGCTTCTGGAATTTCGTATCCAAGACACTGATTCAATGCACTATGAAGGTAGGGGCGGACCGAAGCAGCACCGACAGGTCCTCGACCTCCCCGTCCCCAGCCCCTCAAGGTTGTAGACACACAATGACTCGCGGTGAGTTCCAGTTCTCCTAGCTACGGAAGCCAGGAAGCAACTCGGGTGCTCCTCCAGCCTTATCCACAACTGGTACCTACCTCACTTTCCTCCACCGCCGCTTCTTTCAAGTCCGCGTCTCCATCCCCGTCGGTTTCCTCCGGGATTCCCACAGTGTCGGCGGTCGCCGGGACCCCAGGAGTAGTCCTCATCTCCTCTGACTCCGCTGGCTCTCCGCCCTTGTCTGTGGGCGACTCCCCAGGGTTGTCCATCGCCGCAGAAGCGAGACAGAGGCCACCGCAGCACAGCCAGTTGATAGAGTGAGACTGCGAGCTGACCGGCGGAGCCAGGGTTTACGGCTGGTCGCGCCTAGATGACGTCACCCCACGGCTCCTCGGAGAGCTCATTTTCAGAAGCGCGTTGCTGGCCCAAGGGATTCCTTTAAACTGTGTTTTCACGAGAAAGGAATTTAGAAGCGTGGATCCTCCGCTTTAGGGAAGAAGCGTTTTTGAAAGAGCGTACATTCATTTGCGGAGAGACTTCTTTTTCTTCTTCCTGGAAATGCAACGCCAATTAATCTTTCTTTAACTTGACTACTTGAAAGCAAAGTCGGGGAACCGAAGAAAACGCAATCCCGCCGCTTGCCTAGGGCTGAACAGCTTCCGGCAGGGACCCAGCCTTGTATTTTTCGAAAGAGAGACCACGGGCTTGTGTTCACCAGGGAATTGCTAGGGTTTCCCCTCTGCTCCGCAAGCATCTCCAATCCAGCAGCATTTCCAATGCTCTCATTCAACGCCTCAGTTATCGGTCACCTCGAGTCAGTCGCCCCTTCCCGACTGCACGTTTTTTCCACTCCACCAATACTCAAAATCGGGACTGGTCGTCCAAATCTGACTTAAAAAAAAAAAGTTTGATTAATTTCACGACAACTAAGAGGAAGTTCCTCTGACCGTTTCACTGAAGCTGTTTAGGATGGAGCGCGAGGAAAACATTTTTTAAGTTGTTTCATGTGTATGTTGTTTTGACTGCGTGTATGTCTGTGCACCACATGCGATCATGGTATCCTGGGAGGCCAGAAGAGGGTGTCGAATCCGCTGGACCTGGAGTTACAGACTGTTGTGAGGCTCCATGTGGGTGATGGGCATCACACTTGGCCACTCCCGTCTCCCATCCCTCATTCCCCCCCTCCACTTTTTTTTTTTAGAGAAAGGGTCTCACTACATAGCCTTGGCTGGCCTGGAACTTGCTATGTAGACCAGGCCGGCCTTAAACTCACAGAGGCACACCGGCTTCTGCCTCCCGAGTGCTGGGATGGCATGTGCCACCACGTCCGGCTATTTTAAAGTTCTACGGTCTTTCCTCAAGGAGGCACCAGAGGACGGGATTTTTCACGTCTGGTTCTAGGTCTCCGCCCCTATTCTGTATTTAATCTATGAGTCTTGAATGGAATTGGAAACACAGGTGCGTGTTGCCAAATTTCTCTGACTTCTACAGTGCCTGAACAAATTGCCATATTTCCAGTCGCACGAGGTCCAAACCTTTGGGAAGGCGAGCACGTCAGGAGGCTCCCAGCGGTGCGCCGCGAGTGTTCTCTCCGACCTGTAGAATGGGCGGGCGCGCTGGGCGTGGACCCCATCTCCGCTGGGCTCCGCTCGGCTCAGTCACCTGCACGGCGGCCGGAGCCCCGCCCACTAGGTGGGCAAGGAGGCGGGGCGCGGGGGCGCGGTGACGCGTGACGCCGGATCCCGGAAGTGACGCGCCGCGCGCGCCGAGTCGCTATTTAATCTATG